TTTTGTGATGAGTGGAGAGAGGCCCTTAGGGCCACTGCACGTAAGAAAAGGAAAAAGAAAAAAACGAGACAGCTACTGTAGTGTTTGTAGTACTTTTGTAACCCATAACTCTCGGAACACAGACCTGAATCCGAATCCAGGATATAGTGCTGGCCTGCTCGTGGTCTGCCAGCAGTTCAATGAACATCCTTCCAAAAGTATGGGAACCCTGCCGATTCTTTGCAGGGGAAATGGCCCCAAAATATTTAATTCAATTATCAATTTATCAAAAGGGAGGGGCACATTTGGTTACCACGGCCTACACTTTTTTTTCTTTTTTTTTTTTGTAAATGCGCCATATCACGTGCGCATGCGCTATGCAGCGCAACTTGCGCGCACGTGATGCGCCACACGTATTGTTTGAAGCATTTGAGTGTGTTGTATTCCGTATCCTTGACTTGCCCGTGGAAGAGGAACTGAACTGACGCTCCGCAGAATGGACACGGAGCCAGAGCCATGAGGCCCTGTTTTTTTTTTTTTTTTTTTTTAGTACCGCACACCGACAGAGCTGCATCACAATTGCAGCACAGTGTGCCCATATCCTGTGCTTGTGCTCGACTACCACTATTACCCCTACTACAACCAGTACTGCCACTAGTACCCCTACTACACCTACTACCACTTGCTTTCCCAAGTTGTAGTAGAAAGGCTGATGTTCTCGCACCAACATGTAGACATTTGCAATCGGAAAAATGGAAGTGTAAGGAGAAAAGGTCCAAAAGGGGAGTAAACAATTAAAAGGAATGATGGCTGACTACAGACGAGTGTTTCATTTTTGGTATCTGACAACGGTGGTACTGGCCAGATAACTGGAGGCGGCAGAATTGTCCTCTGATGTCAGACAACTGAAACTGATGGCGATTGCCCGCTGACAAACAGTGGTGCTAAAAAAGAAGGTGATGTGTCAGCAGCAGTTGTGTAAGCTGAGACTTGAATATGATGCTACTGCGATTGCTGATCGCAGATATTTCTTTCATGACTAGCATGAGTGTGTTGAAAAAAACTATGCTTGGACGATGCAGGCGCAATAAAGCCTATCGCAAAAAAACAGCCCGTGTGGCTGAATGGTCACACACACACACACACCCACACACACACACACAACACACCCACCCACACACACACACACACACACACACACACACACACACACACACACACACACACACACACGACTGTTAGCAAACAGTGCATGAGTGAAATCACATTCAAATCAGACGAATATGAACTTATTATGAAGCCTTCTGGGAAACAAAGGGTCTTTTGAAAGGATTTTCAAAAGAGTCAGAACACAGTTCTTCTTCTTTTTTTTCTTTTTTTTTTTCGGGCTTTCAAGAGGCTTTTCACAATCTAGTACTGGTTTCACACCTGGGGCTCCTCACTCCCCAGCTCCCCATTCCCCTCCCACGGCCCCAATGAGTGGAACTTCCATGTGGGTTTGATGACCGTGGTATTTCATTCCTTGTTTTATTTGAAGGCACCTTGATGGAATATGCCTGTGCTTTACCTTAATCGCCCAAATGCCTGCATCAGAACGTGCCTGGATAGACTGACGTACAGGTGCATGACCTGCAATGTGACAAGGATGTGTGTCCAGATGCATTCTGACAGAGGTGCTTCAGCAAGTATGTCGATAAAAGAGGGGAATATAAATAGAGAGAGTGAGAGAGTCTTCCATCTGGGGTGGGTAATTGTCTGCTTTCATTCTCATTACAGGTACCCTAAGCGCAGTGGTTGGTGCCCACCTCAGGGTATCAGTCGTGGGGTGGTTGTCGATGCTCGACCACAACTGGGGTTAAAATGGATTAGCACTTACAGTACCATCGGTGAGAGGACTCTGAAGACTGTAGAGGTTTCAACCTCCAGATGAGTCGGCGGAACTCAGACAAGCAGTCTGCCACAGCCCCCCGTCAAAAAGAACTGCCCAGTGAACCGTAGGCAGAGAGGGAGAAGAGGACAACAAAGGAGCTGTGACAGAGTGTTCCGTCCGAGTTTCACAGACTCGTTAGGAGGCTGAACCCTACATTATGCATATATACTGTCATAGAGAACTGCTTACTCAACCGTAGCTGAAAGGGAGAAGAGGACAACAAATGAGGGGCTGTGACTGTTTCATCAGAGTTTCACTAACTCGTCAGTACACACACACACACGCGTGCGTGCGCACACATGCACACAGGCACACACACCAACAAACGCACACACACACACACACACACACACACACACACACACACACACACACTCGCGCGCGCATGCGCGCGACTAACCCTTTGTTCATTTGAACACACACAATTAACAGTTAACACATGACTGCATCTGCCTGAGGTTCGAAGTCTGAACCCATGAAACCTTGAAATGAATAGAGTTCTATGTATGATATGTACGAGATTCATCCGCTCGCCAGGTACACACAGGTCACAATGACCATCACCCTACACATCGTAAAACAGCTAACAGGACTTGTGGAAGAAAAAAGAGAAAATTAAAATAAAACTTTGTTCTTTCTGCATAAAAAAGACCACCCTCATACAGCGTGGATACCGCCCCCCCAGCCATTCATGTACCTTTAACGGCACAGAGCGCAGTTGATGAATCAAGAACGAGCAACTCCTCACCTGGTGCATTCTACTCTGCTGCACAGCTTCATCGTAATCATATCCCAAGACGGAGGAAGAAAGCCGCCTGTGGTGTCGGTTCCCCACACCCGGTCCACTTCTTGCGCTCCCAGTATCCCAGTGATCCGACTCCAGCTCCTCAGCAGCACTGTCAAATGCCTCCCCATCCTCGTCCAGTGTTGACCCTTGACTAGCTTCATAATCATTGTCGGCTTGCAATGATATACTACTGGCCCTAGAACCCGGAGGTTATCAGAATTTCCATCCCACACAACAGCATCACCACCATAGCCACCAGTGGCCCCAACAGCACCAGCAAGGCAGGTCATCATACACGTCATGTAAAATGCATAGTTGTTAAAATCAATGAACGAATGAAGCAATGAAAAGTCACTCAAGTAGTCAAAATCAATCAAAATCAAAGCATATGATTGAAATCAAATCAACGCAAGCAAGTCAAATGCATAGAAATAAACTTTAATAAAGTATATTCAATCAGATCCAAAAATCAGATAAAACCAACACACCACATAAAGTTTAATAAACCAATCAACCCAAATCAAACCAATTCTCAATGAAATACAAACTCAATGTTACATACTTCAATGAGTATGGGCAGAACCAAAGATCAACCAATGTAGGATGAGCATATATGCAGCGGAAGTCTGATAAACGGACTGACTCACATAGACTGACTCACACGGACTGACTCAAGAATCACTCCACACACATACAATTGTGAGATGGTGGGGTCTGGGCCAAGCATAGACGATGCCCAGACCTCGTACACGCATACACAGATGAGATGTGGGAGGAGAGACGAAGGAGGTGGGGGAGGTAGACAGCACCGAAGGTCACCGAGATAGAATCTGATAGGTCACCGATATGGTCGTCCAAAATGTCATCCAACAAGATCAGAATGTCCAGGACAATAGATCACCAATGTCGGAGGTACAGAGTCCAAATGTAACCGGTGTCCGAACTGTGATGCAGCCGAGTATCAACCCCAACAATCTCCAAGTCTCCAATCCGGTAAGTACCACAGTCTCGTACCACCGAAGTCCAATACTGATCTCTGTCCAACTAGTACAAGTCTCCAATCTGAAGAAGAAGAAGAAAAAGATGGAGTCTGAAGAGGGGGAGAAGAAGAAGAAGAAGAAGAAGAAGAAGAAGAAGAAGAAGGAGCCGAGGAGGAGAGAGAGAGAGAGAGGGGACTGGCAAGGGGAGGGAGGAGAGAGGCCTCCAACTCCCGATACCTCAGGCGGCTATGGCCGCCGGCACACCCAGTCGCCGCTGCTGCTGCGCTAATGCTGCGCTGCTGCTCCGCGCTGCTCCTGCGCTAAACTTAGCGCCAGCGCTGTATCGTGCTGTACCATACCGTACCGGTAGAATGCCGGTAGGTCGATGCCTCGAAGTGAGGCCGGACCAGTACTAAGTACTGGTTCGAAGAGGACCGGCCTCACTGCTGCGAGGCCTTGGTTGGGGCTGAACCGTCCAGATCGACGATTCAGGTCCAACCGGAGAGTGGCAGCCTCAAATGGCGCCGTCAGGCCCAAAGACGAAATGTCATTTGGGCCTGGTCCGTAGTCGGGTCCAAGTCGTGGCCTTTCGGCCTGTTATCCTCCAAGGTCGGGCCTTTAGGCCCTGATGTGTCCCTCTAGCCCTAAGTCAGGTCCGGTAGGACCCGTGTGGCGTCGAAGATGTAACACACTCCCCCTCTTAAAAGACCGAGCTACCTGCGAGGGCGAAGTTGTCTGTCCGATACCGGGGTGGGTCGGGCGGGACGAGCTGCGTCCTTAGCAGGGCGTCGCTTCTCATAGTCGGCAAAGATAAGGGGTGCAGAAGTCTGCAAATCTGTACTGGAGATCCACCGAGTGTCATCAGGCGCGCATTGCTTGAATGTGACTTTGTACTGCCTTGGCTTGTTGCCATACTTGCGGTGCGTGATGACTCGGTCAACTTCCTGATGTCCGTCCATAGAAGGCGGATCCTGTGATCGATGTCCGGGGAACTCGTCAGCTGAAAGTGGCGTGTAGATGGCCAGCTTCGATGCGTGGAAGACCCGATGCACTGTCAGGTGCGGTGGAATGTTGATCACGAAGGAAGGACCTGCAGGGTCGTCTCCAACGGCAGAAGTGACTTCCCATGGCCCGAACCATTTCGGAAGGAATTTGCGCGAAACATCCTGCTCGAGCGCAAATTCCTCGGAGAGGACCCAAACAAGGTCTCCCTCGCGGAAAGGACATGGAAGTCGACGTCGGTTAGCCTGCTGCTGCATGCGGATCTCAGCCTTTTGCATATTTGCGTGGGCTTTGATCAGCAAGTCCCGGTACTTCCGGATGGAAGCGGGAGAGCAAGGGACGTCTATGTCGGCAGCCTGTGGCAAAAGGAGATCAGCGAAGATCCGTGCTTTCTCTCCACCATGATGTAGCTCGAATGGTGTGACGCAGATCGCCGGGTGCACCGAAGTGTTGTAGGCGAACTCGATGTCGGGAAGCCGGTCAACCCAATCTTTCTGGTCGGGACGGATGAGCGTACGCAACATCATCTGAGCAGTCTGGTGCGCTCGTTCCGTCTAACCATCCGTCTGCGGGTGCCGAGCCGAGCTCGGTTTCATTGTCGTACCGGACTCAGCCATGAGGGAAGTCCAAAAGGCTGACATGAAACGAGTATCTCGGTCGCTCACTATGTCTTCCGGACCACCTTGGTTGGTAATCCAACCGGTGTGCAAGAGTCGTGCGAGCTCAGGTGCTGCAGCATGATACTTGCAAGGAAGGAAGCGAGCATATTTGCTCAAACGGTCAACGACCGTGAGAATACCGTCATGGCCGTGGCGATCGCGGGGAAACGGGCCTGTCACGTCCATAGCAATGGAGAGGCGTGGTGCCCGAGGAATCGGCAACGGTTTCAGTTCGCCGAAGGGGACTCGAGATCGACCCTTGTTACGGTGGCAAACTGCACATGACTCAATGTACCTCGTGACGTCATGAAGGACGTCGGGCCAGTGAAAACGCTGGCGGAGGCGTGCTAGTGTGCGGTTCACGCCAAGGTGAGCCGAAAGTCGTGCGTCGTGGAATTCGCCGAGAAGACGAGTCCGTAAAATGCGATCTTGGGGCACAACTAACAAGTCCTTTCCTCTCGTGTGCAGGAGAAGGAACCCGTCGGAAATCCGATAGTGGCTAGCCGGCGGGTGATCCAATGAAAGCTCTGCGTAAAGCGTAGAGTAAGTCGGATCGGACTTGTAGCCTTTGACGAAATGTTGCTGCATATCGTCATCGAGGTCGAATGCCGTGGTCACAATGGCACAAAAGTCGGGCCGTCGTGAGAGGGCATCCGCAGCTCGATTGGCGGGACCGGGAATGTGACACGGGTCAAAATCGAACTGGTCGATGTAATACATCCATCGACCGATCGTGCTAGTGACCGTGTCTTGCGTTTTATAAAAGGTCAACGGATTGTTGT